ATTCCTGATAATTTAACTATCTGGAAAGAATAATAAAATAATACATGTTTTAAAACTTTAAAAATACACATAAAATAACAGAGATCCACCTAAAGAAACTTTAACTCTCTCTATACCTATTCTTATTATTTTCATCCTCTTTTCTTTCTTAAATAAAATATATTATTCTATCATACAATATATTCAAACCAGTTGCCTCTCACTACACTCCTTTCAGCTCCCACTGACCTTACTTTTCCCCCAGATACACTCCCTGAGATGGAGCCATATATACATAGCCAATAAGAACGGACAGCTGAATTAAAAAACCATCAACAATTTCCAGAATTTAAAATCCTGAATCATGACAGGACACTAGTGGAATTCATACTAGGAAACTAGTGTTTCTGGTACATGGACTGCTCTCACCCAATGTGAGGTTGAACTATTGACCTTGTGTATATCCTACTTCACAAATGAGTCTGTCAGAGATGCTAAGCCTATAGGCTGAAGATGATGCCCCAACACTGTGGAGAAACCTCAGGTGACTGTCCAGACAGCTGGCTGTGTCTGTCAACTCACAAATTTTTTGGAAGTTGCTTGCATGCACGTCCTGTTTTTATTTTTGTTAGCTAATATTATTTCCTTCTTGGATCTCTGAGGGAGTTGAAGATTAGTTAATTATAGTTGAAGGTTAGTTAGTAATATTTGATTATTAATTAGGATAGAAAGTGAATTAGATACATTTGGGACTTACCAAAATAGGATAGATAATGAAATTATTTGCTCTGAATTTGTCAAATACAAATGGACTAGACATTGTTTAGGTATTTATTACTTGTATATATTGTATATAGTTATTGTCCTTTTGTATATAGTTTTTCTTTTGTTAGTTATAACCCTTTGCTTTTTTCTTTTTATTAAAATAGAAAAGGGGAAAGATGGTGGTATTTTATTTGTACTGAAATGTGATTTTAATTGTATGTTAATAAATAAAGTTGCTTGGAGGTCAGAGCTAATAGCAAGCCATAGCAGAGCTGGGCGTTTGTGGCACATGCCTTTGATCCCAGCACTTGGTAAACGAGCTAGATATATCTCTGTGTGGTCAACGATACAGCCAGCATTGGAGACACATGCCTTTAATCTCAATACCATAGAAGACCTGGAGGGCTGTACAAACAGGCAGTGACGAGACAGTCATGTGTTTGGGTTTACAACCAATGAGAAGGCAGAACAGAAAGACTATTTAAAGACAAACACACAGGAGTAGGTCTCTTTCAGAGAGGTAGGACCACCACAGGATGAAGGGTAAGGTTTTAGCTCTGAGCTCTGACCTCTTGGATTTCTTCTTTACATTGGTTCTGTGTTTCTTATTTAATAAGATGGTTGGTTACATCTACAAATGCCTTTAATCCTATCATTTGGGAGGCAGGTATCTGTCTGGATCTCTGTGAGTTCAATGCCACATTGGGAACAGAGTCAGGCAGGGTGATACACACTTTTAATCCCTGCCCTAACCATAGAGGTCTGGAGATCTGTACACAGAGACAGGGAATTGACAGAGTTATTGGATGCCTCAAATTTTTAAATGAAGAAGAAAAACATATACCTAAATGATGTATAAATTCATTAAGAAAAATAAATCTCTTCCTTACAAAGCTTAAAATGAAAGATTGTCCTTGGGCTATCTCTCAAATTTTGAGAAAATATGATATCAGAACACGTTTATAAGTTGGTGAATTTGCCTGAGTAGAAAATTTAATGAGACTTTCAAGGCTATTGCTTGTTTGCTTGCTTGCTTTTGGGCAACCTGGTTATAGAAAAGCTGCAATTGATATCTGGAGGCCTTTCTATTCCTTCTACACTTCTATTCCCCAGTGTCTTCATAAGTGATATTAGTCAAAATGCTAATACTATCCTCTGTTGTCACTAGCAAGATCATGATAAAAAACCAATGTGGATTCATAAGTCTCAAGAGACATCCGTTCTCATGTATTGCTGCCCCTGAGATACATGTACAGCTTGCTGTTTCTGCCGTGATATTGGCAATACTATAAGATCAGAATCCATTCCACAGCACAGATCCACTTGTGAAAACGCAAAACAGCAGGATGCTTTTCTGGATATGGATGTTAGGTCAACCCTCTGGATATGACATATTTCACATCCATCTTTTTTACTCTTATTGTTCTGTTCCTAGCCTAAAGTAAGTATTAAAAATATTTGAGTACAGGTATACTGAATTGTAAATGGTGATAAAATAACCAGTCTTTTTTTGTTGCATAAATTCAAACAAAAAAGTGAAATTAATGTCTAGAAAATGGAAGCAGTTGGGACACAGACTTATTATCAATAATGTTCTCACTCTTGACCCACTGTTCTTTTCATTACTATACTGCTCAAGAACAACCAGTCTTCCACTCGAAGGACCTTTTGATTTTGGAGTGATGGTTTCATTCCAGAGGGAGAACATGTTGTAATTTTCTAATATTTATAATGTTCTACAGGATTAGAAGTCCACCAATTATGGCTCTTTTTTAATTTCTGAAGGTTGTATGACTTTCAACCTCAATTTAATAAATATCACTTACTGGGTCTTTTTTCCTGGAAGTATCAACCTCTAGACATTAATATCATGAACTGAACATTCTGAAGAAACCAAGAAAAGATGAGCAAGGGCATGGAAGGTAATGGCTATGATTTACATGATTTAAAAATGTTAATATCTTTTATAACTTGGAAGAACTTACACATTCCTTGTAATGTAAGTGCAGCTATATCTTGTGAAGATGGATAATTTTCACCTTGGTCCTTTATAGTATAATATTATACCATCTGGTTCCTTGAATATAAAATGATATCACGCAAAAGGATGGATATGCCCAAGATTCCAAAGTTGGAAGTTACTCTCAAGTTAAGAGTCAGGCTTATGTGTAACCATAGTTGAATAATCAAGTGTTATCTGATCCACCATGCAAATGGTACAAGATACGCCATGAAATATATCATGTTCGAGGTTACAGATTATGCAGTGAGAGCAAAAGTAGCTCTTCATTGGTATATACCTTATACTGCCACAGACACAAACATAACAGAGTTCTGTGATGGTAATAGAAAATACCATCCTCTTTGAAAACTAAGGCCTATTTATTACATGTAAAGAAATAAGTTAAAGTTGTTTCTTTTTGAATTATGTCCTTGAAGAATTATGTCCTTAGATTTCCATGCACTGCAGTATTTCTGAACTTCACAAAGAAAAATGCCCCATACATCAAGCAGTGATCAACTGATCCAGAGTTCAATGGGGAAAAAAATCTAAAGAAAGACTTTATCAAATTAGATATAAAACTTAATGTCCATGGTGCAGTACCCAAAGTCAGTGCATAGACACAGCTTGGACACTGAATTTGGTACAAGTATCAAACATGAGAAATGAATTAGATATTCTTTGTTGCTAGCATAAACTAATTCCATTTTACTACATGGTTAATGCTTCAAAGCAAGACTTTGATTTTTTTTAGACAGATATGTTAATAAATTATGCAAATAACAAGTCTTTGTTGCTTACTGAAATAAAAATTATCATTTACCTGAAAACTGAAGTAAGACATAGACTTATAATAAAAAGTCCTATTAAGATCAAAGTAACGGCAATTGCCATTTGGTCCACTCCCAGATGATTCCAGAAAGCACCTTTCCACCCATAATTCAGTGTAGGCTTATTCACACTGCACAGGATGCTGACATGTGAGTAAGAGAACTTGATTATACTTAAAACCTTATGTTGAGGTCCAAATATAATAATTTTTCAATTTTTCATTTCTTCAGTTATTGGTTCATTGTTCATGTCTTTCCTTTCGTTTGTATACTTGTCCCTGTGCTTTTTCCAACCCTGGTCTCAACAATTCTCGCTCATACAAACCCTCCTCTTTCTCACCAATTGGACTCCTGGAGCTCTATCTGGGGCCTGACCTTGGATCTCTGCATTCAGATTTCTCAGTCCTTGGATGGAGTTTCTGGCACAACTATTAGGGTGTTTGGCCATCCCATCACCAGAGTAGGTCAGTTCCAGCTGTCTCTCAACCATTGCCAGCCTTCTCTTGTGGGAGTATCTTTGTGGATTTCTGTGGGCCTCTCTAGCACTTTGTTTCTTCCTTTTCTCATGTGGTTTTCATTTACCATGGTCTCCTATTCCTTCTTCTCCCTCTCTTTTCTTGATCCTGCTGGGATCTCCCGTTCCCACAGGCCCTCTTTCCGTCGACCCTTGCCCTTCATTACTCCCACTCATGTCCGGGTTGTTCATGTAGATCTCAGCCATTTCTCTGTCATTGGGCAATCCTTGTGTGTTTCTTGGGGTCCTGTTTTCCAGGTAGCCTCCCTGGTGATGTGAGTAGCAGTCCAGTCCTTGTTCCACATCTAGTATCCTCCTATGAGTGAGTACATACCATATTTGTCTTTCTGAGTCTGGGTTACCTCACTCAGGATTATTTTTTCTAGATCCATCCATTTGCCTGCAAACCTCATGATGTCATTGTTTTTCTCTGCTGAGTAGCATCCCATTGTGTATATGTGCCATAATTTATTTATCCATTCTTCAGTTGAAGAACATCTAGGTTGTTTCCAGGTTTTGGCTATTACAAATAATGTTGATATGAACATAGCACCAGACAGTGGGACCAGGTCCTGTCCTCAGTACATGAACTGGCAGTTTGGAACCTGGGGCTTATACAGGGACACTTGGCTCAGCCTGGGAGGAGGGAACTGGACTGGCCTGGACTGAAGCTACCAGCCTGAACTCAATCCTCGAGGGAGTCTTGGCCCTGCAGTAGATGGGAATGGGGGGTGGGCTGGGCAAAGGAGGGTGGGGGGTGGGGGGTTGGGAGGGGGAAGAACAAGGGAATATCTGGCTGATATGTAAAATTAAATTTAATAAATAAATTTAAAAAATGAAAAAAAAATAAAAAAAATAATTTTTCATTTCCTTTTTTTATATAGGAGCCTGTCATAATTCCCAAATAACACTGATGCAGAATATTTCAGATGTGGCTGAATTCATTCTTGTGGGATTAACAGATGCCCCAGAGCTGCAGGTCCCTTTATTTGTTGTCTTCACTTCCATTTATTTGATCACCCTGGTTGGGAATCTTGGAATGTTGGTATTGATTCTGCTGGACTCCCGACTCCACACTCCCATGTACTTTTTCCTCAGTAACCTCTCCTTTGCAGACTGTGTTTATGCTTCAGCTGTCACTCCCAAGGTAATAGAAGGGTTTCTCACAGGACATAAGATCATATCCTACAATGCATGTGCTACTCAGATGTTCTTCTTTGCAGCTTTTGTTACCATTGAATGTTACATCCTGGCCTCAATGGCCTTTGACCGTCATGCAGCAGTGTGCAAACCCTTGCATTACTCTACCACTATGACAACTTCAACGTGTGCCCTGTTTGCTGCTGGTTCTTACATGAATGGAATCTTGCAATCTACAATCCATGTGTCCTTTACTTTCCATCTCTCCTTCTGTCATTCCAATGTAGTAAATCACTTTTTCTGTGATATTCTTCCACTACTCACTCTTTCTTGTTCTGGTATCTATAAAAATGAAATTGTGCTTTTCATGTTGGCAACATTTAATATTGCTTTTACCCTATTGGTTATTGTTACTTCTTACCTACTTATTTTTGTTGCAATCCTGAGGATGCGTTCTGCTGAAGGCCGAAAGAAGGCCATCTCCACCTGTGCATCCCACCTCAGTACTGTTTCCATCTTCTATGGCACAATTATCTTCATGTACTTACAACCCAGCTCCAGTCATTCCATGGACACTGACAAAATGGCATCTGTGTTCTACACCATGGTCATCCCCATGCTGAACCCTCTTGTTTACAGCCTCAGGAACAAAGAAGTCAAGAATGCATTCAAGAAAGTTGCTGGAAAAGCATTATCTTCACTGGGATTAGTCAATTTACTGTAAAATGTTTGAAAATGATATGTAACTTTAAGTTACTTTTTCTATAAATACTTTAAATGTAATTATTTAGTGACTTTAATTTTTCTGAATATATATTTTATAGATGAGGCCTCTTCTATTCATTCTTTTTGCATTCTAACTATGGACAGCAAATTTTGCATATTTTATTATAGAAATTAGGCATTTCAATTTTGATATTCAATACTTAATACTACACCACATCTGAACTACTGCTGT